CATCATATGCATGTTCATGGAATCAGAAAGCAAAAACGGGAAGAAATCTATATTTCCAGCCAGGTCACTGCTTTTGTTACCGCCATCACCTCCATAGACTACTTGTAGTCAAGGCAAAAGAATGGATATGTACCTTTATAGTTCTCCATCTACCTAGAATCTTGAAAGCTCATCAGCTCTGCACACGTCAAATGATGGATCCACCAGTGTTAATAACTGCACCCCCTCTAATGTGGTCCAGGTGGCATCAATGTCCAACATACCTTCATCGAAACAGTTTTACTATTGTTGCATTTTAAATTTTAATTATTTTTTTTCTTTTATTTCCTATTAATACTTTATTCTACCTCTTATCAGTATAATTTATGTATCATTAACATTTTATTTCTTTTATTCCTACTATTATATTACATATTAACAATATTACTTTTTATTTTTTGCACCTATATTTTTTTAGCCATCATTTATTTTATTTAACTGCATTCGCTCCACATCACATTTTTTAAAACGTTGCTCACGTCACGCCTTAGAGATCTGAATACTCTCCTCTGTGTTACCTTTGTGTAGTTCACTTCATGTTTGACAAACTAAACACAGGGGGAAGGGAGTAGTGATTCATGTTAAAACTAAACACAGGGGGAAGGGAGAAGTAATTCATGTTAAAACTACAAATAGGGGAAAAGGAGAAGCGATTCATGTTAAAACTACATATGGGGAAGGCAGAAACGATTCATGTTAAAACTACATAAGGGGGAAGGGAGAAGCGATTCATGTTAAAACTACATATGGGGGAAGGGAGAAGCATTTATGTTAAAAATATAAGGGGAAGAGAGAAGTGATTCATATTAATACTAAAAACAGGAGAAAGGGGACAAATTATTCCAGTTAATACTAAACACAGGAGAAACGTGACAAATTATTCCCGTTAATACTAAACACAGGAGAAAGGGGACAAATTATTCCCGTTAATACTAAACACAGGAGAAAGGGGACAAATTATTCCCGTTAATACTAAACACAGGAGAAAGGGGACAAATTATTCACGTTAATACTAAAAATAGGAGAAAGGGGACAAATTATTCCCGTTAATACTAAACACAGGAGAAAGGGGACAAATTATTCACGTTAATACTAAACACAGGAGAAAGGGGACAAATTATTCCCGTTAATACTAAACAAAGAGGGGCCAGTAAAAGAGAATAATTACTAACATGTCGGTGAAGAAGAAAAATTAATGTCAGATGAAAAACTTAAAATTTTTATTTATGGCACATCGGGCACATGACACTATGGACCAATCAGAATTATGTAAGTGATATGGTCAACATCACACTGGCCACCTTTACATCCCAGGACTTTATCTGGTACCCACTGCAGGGGAGCATCTAGCCAGTACGCTATCACGGCACCCAGATTCACTTTGCTGTGAAAATAATATGTTAACACAGGGAGGATTTTCTTGTTATTCCAGAAATGATCTGCAATAGGCAAATAAAAAGTTGGGAAAGGCAGCGGCCAGTTAACTGTTCAGTATAATATTAAAAAAAGCAAACAATGCAAACAAAATAAATCATTAGCTCAAAAAAGAAATTTTAAAACCCGCAGGTAAAGATCAAACTTCTACTAAGGGAAAAAATATATCTACATTATAAACATCCTTCAACTGTCAAAAATGTGACGCATTTACAAAATTGTTCAGTGCAATATTCATAAAATACAATACAATATTTTGCATGCATACGTAATATTTCATGACCATGCGAATACAAATACTGAAACAAAAGCTTCCATCTAGCGGATCTGAAGCTTGTAATAATAAACTGACAAAAGAAACAACACAGCAACATTTACTTAAATAAAACAACGAGGTCTGAGTACACAGCTCCAATAGCAATAATTGACAGCAAGTCACAATCCCAGCAAGAAATCAGTGAAATAACATTGGCCAGACAGACCACATTCCTGCCTGTGTGCTGCCAGAATTCATACGGATGACTCCCTGTGTGTTGCCAGAATTAATATGGATAGATTTCCTGTGTGTTGCCAGAATTCATACGGATAGATTCCCTTGTGTTACCAGAATTCATACGGATAGATTCCCTGTGTGTTACCAGAATTCATACGGACAGATTCCCTGTGTGTTGCCAGAATTCATACGGATAGATTCCCTGTGTGTTGCCAGAATTAATATGGATAGATTCCCTGTGTGTTGCCAGAATTAATATGGATAGATTCCTTGTGTGTTACCAGAATTCATATGGATAGATTCCCTGTGTGTTGCCAGAATTCATACGGATAGATTCCCTGTGTGTTGCCAGAATTCATATGGATAGATTCCCTGTGTGTTGCCAGAATTCATATGGATAGATTCCGTGTGGGTTCTGGAGCCCCACTGGCAATGGTGGTTGGGGAAGGGGAGACAACAGACCCACAGCTCCTTAACATGCATGCTGTAAAAGGTTTCTAATTAATGATTTGTTTCCTTCGAAGTCAGAATTCATCTGCCTGACAGGCAAGGAACTAACAGTCTGAGCTAGATCTGTAAAATGGGTGGGCACGTAACACCCAGGTTCTGGACAAGACAGAAGTCCAGATGCGAACAAACACACAGAACTTTCCCACGGAGTTTACAGCCAGTGCACGTGATGATCAAGAAGAATAATTGGCTGAAACTGGCTGTGTTGCTGCCAAAGGTGCAGATATAGAAGCAAACCGCTTCACAACGTGTCAACCGCCATTTTAAGGGCAAATGCAGAAGGAAACAACAGTTTCTCTGAAAATATCAATGTACATTCTTTTGTATAGTTCTTATACTCCTAAAAAGTACAATTTTGTTCTTATATTTCTAGCAGATGTTGAAGTAGTACACACACCCATAAACAAGTCAAGGACCCTTCTCCATGCATATTGGCCACAGAAAGCTTGACCTATAATTGTTAGAACAATCGGAACCCAGAGGGTGATGAAGTCAACATCACGCCGGCGACCTTTACCTCTCAAGACTTTATTTGGTACCCGCTTGAAGCTGGGTCGACCTGGGACCCAAGGTCATTAGTGACAAAAGTCCAGCTCCCTCACGATCTGAACCCACAACCTTCGTATCTGCAGGCGAGCGTCTGGCATCACTGGTATGAATGTACAACTGAATTCCCAGCTTTCTCATACATGCTGATGAACACTGTGATATCACTGGCCTAGTCTGCGGGAAGCCATCGTGGTGTAGAAGCTAGACACTTGTCTGTGGATTGGAAGGTCATGGGTATGGGTCCCGATGGAACCTGACTTTTAAAAAATTGACCATGGCTCCCAGGTCGACCCAGCCTTGAGTGTGTACCAGTTATAGTCATGGATAGTCTTCTTTTTTTTTTCTTCACGTTCACCGGCTGTGAACTCCGGCGGAAAGTTCTGGTTGTTCATCCACTTCAGGACTGCAGTCTTGTACCAGAACCTGAGTGTTGTGTGTGCATCCATTCTACAGATCTGTATGCAGACTGTTGGTTTCTTGCCTTTCAGACAGATGCACTCCAACTTCGAAGGAAGCTCCCAATTAGTCGACTCTTACGACATGCTTTTGGGTAGGCAGTAGGTCTATTCTTGTTTTTCCCATAGTAGGGCCCCAGAACCCACACGGGGGGTCATGGGTAGTAAAGGTGGCTAGCGTGATGCTGGCCACATCCCGAATCGAGCTCCAGCTGGTCTACAAAATATAGGTCTAGCCCTATTTGCCCAATAGACCTGAAGGCATGGAAAGGGGTCCTTTTCTAGTTGATGGGTTGGTGTGTGTACTATTTAAACATCTGCTAGAAATATAAGGACAAATATATTCTCCTTAGAAATACAACAACTATACAAACGTATTTTTATAATAACACTCACACTTCTTCTTTGCCCACCTCATCAATGACATGACATGAAGCTTGTTGTCTGACAGCAAACAAATACAAATTTATCAGCAGCAAACAAATAAAAGTCTGTCTATCAGAGACTTGTTACCAAGATTTTATCTGACAGACAATGGGACAAGTCTACACTAGACCAGTCTGGCAAATAAAACATAATACGAAAAAAAACTGTTTATGTAAAAGCCACCAACTAAAACGCTCCCGAGTATTTTAAGCGAGTAGCATCGACATTACAAAAATGGTTTGTTTCTTGTAGATAACATATACATTCTTGTTAATCTTCTTTTGGATTTGTTCTTTGTCATGAAAATTTCTTTCATTACTTTCAACATTTATGTTAAAACAGCCACCTAGAAATGACTACACTCCATCTAGTTTCAAACATTGCCCAAGATGCACAATGCTGCACTGGCAACTATGAATGTCTCTTAACTCTTTGAGTCCCAGGGGGTTTAGCATCACAGGCCCAAGAGGTTGTGAAGAGAGACATAAAATCGGTGCATCATACGTTCATTGGGCTTCTATGTAGAAACCTATGAACGTATGATGCGTTCCTTGGGACTCAGAGTTAAGAACAGTTAAAAAGGCAGAAAATGTGAGGGTGTGGAGATGTGAAACAAACCCGCAGATCAGATCTAGGGTCTCTGAGAAAAAGAAAAGAAAAAAGATACTACAGGGGTAAGTACATGAGAAGATAAGAACATGCAGGACAAATGGAGAAAAAACAAAAAAATGGATACTACATTAGGCTCACTGGATGGGCCTCAAACATGGAAACATCAATTTCAGTCCATCATACTGAAGGGATGAAGGGGGGAATGTGATCAGGCAGTTGCCAGGTAATCACAGAATTGATGTTTCAATTGAAGAGGTCACTACAAGTTCAGAAAAGTATGTCATGTCAGCTGAAAAAAAAAACAAATACCCGATGAAATGCTTGGTGCTAAAGACGTTAAAGGAAATTACAACAGTTAAATTGGTCTTTATTTAGTTAAACTACAACAGTTAAATTGGATTCAGCTTCTGGACTTTGCCCTGGGAAATATAGCATCTGTTAACGCCTGGCGTTCGGCAGGGGGGTCCCTGGCCAATGTTGTCCTATGCATATTTGCTGAAAGCCTCTTCTTGCTCGTTCAACAGTTTTATGATTTGTGGAGGAGTGTCAATTCCGACCTGAAAGAGATAAGTTACAAAACATCTCAGCATATGTCATAAATGATGTAAAGGTAAAGGTAAAGTCGGGAGATTTGAACCGTCATTGCACACGGTTATAAACCATAAGTGCTCTGCCACCAGTACGGATAGCTGATAAGAACCTGTCCGCCTGTGTCGCCATCCTCACGCAACTCAGTAGCTACAGTGACGTTCCTCCATTTACCCCAGAGAGTTAACTCTGGTACCCATTACCTAGAGGCTGGGTGAACCCAGGGAGCCGCCCGGATTCAAACACCGGCTGTGGGCTGCAGCGAGTCGCAGCTGGATTTGAAAGCGAGTCTCCTATCGACTGTGCTAACGAGGCCTTAAATGATGAGGCAGAAACGACTGTCTAGTTCAGAGATGTCTTGCATCTTTCTGTCTTTCCAGACAATAGTATTTATTCTTACCAAACTTTGCTACCAATGTCAAACATGGATACTGTCTTCAGAACACAGAAGGAAAATAGTCACAACAGAAATGAAATGTTTACATACTATGCTAGGTTTAACGAGGAAAGATCCACTTAGGAATAGTGATATCAGGAGAAAAGTCGGCACAGAACAAATATTGAACTTTATAGGTTAGGTTAGTTGCGTATCCTTTACAGGACGTTGTAGAACCAACCCCATCAGCCACTGGCTGTTGTGTGGTTGCACTAGGCAAATTTACGTCCAGTAGTTTGCCATTGCTTTCTGGACGGTCGGCTCCCTGATACCACTGTCTAAACCAAAGCTAGGCGTATGGCCCGCAGCTGGGATCGAACCCGGTACCCCGGCATTACGAAGTGTTCGCATCGACTTAGCCACAGAGCCGACGAACTTTATAGGTAGACAACAAATCAAATGGTTTGGCCATGTAACAAGACTGGCAGCAGACAGGGCCCCACAGAGAGCAATGTTATACAGACATAACAGTAACAGAGCCAGAGGTCGACCCTGACAAATATGGACCATAGAAAAATCAGAGACACTGAAAAATACTTATAACGAAGCGAGCAAAAGGGCATGACCGAGAGATCTCTCTTCCTGCCCTGATGCTGTGAGGCATTCCAGAAGTAGAGAAAAGAAGAAAGAAGAAGAGTATAGTGTGCTATACGGTGGTATGGGAATCACAGTCCATGGAGATGGCAAAACCATTCGCATTACCCTTTTGCCCCGACAATGGTTTAAAAAAAAAAAATTTGGGTTATGAACCCGTCAACCATATTACATAGGTCACAGAGAAATGTTTTAACTATTTACTTACCTACCTCCAGTATGAGTACCTGATCCAAGGAGTGCCTGGCCGAGGGGTTCAGAACAGTGGGCTCTCATTCGAGAAATCCAGGTTTCAATCCTCTGTAAGGTCATGGATTTCTTTCTGCTGAGGGCAAAAATAAATCCTGATTGGAACAGTTTGTGGCAACTGCACCAGCCACAAATCCTCAGGCTCAAGATCCCTTGTTCTACTGACCTATAAAGTAGGACATACAGGCAGTACTGACAGTTTAAAAAATTTTTTTTACTGTACCTGATCCTCAAGGAACCGCTTGCTCTCTCTGGTGTCATCAAGCCAGTAGTGTTTTGGAAGACTGAAGAGCTCCTCCTCATTAATTGAATCCAAACCGCTCAGATCAATGGTTCCTGGACACAGAAGCAAAAGTAAAACAATAAAATATGGCTGCTTTAGACATGGAATCTAAACTTCACACAAGGAACTGAAGTTAAAGTCGAAGTTAGAAGTCAAGAGGGTTGACTTTATTGCCCAAGATTTTATCCCATATGGCGCAGTCTCTCTTCACAGAGTGGTTAGCTACCTGCCGAGAGCTTCGCAACAAGCACGAATTCCGTAGCCCCAGTGATGATTCTCAGCAGTCTTGATAACACTGGTATTGTCTTCTTCTACTTCTTAACATTTGGCGGACAATTCTGTTTGTTCACCCACACCTGGACTTTGGTCCTGATCCAGAATTTGAACAGGGTCAAAACATGATGTTACAAACATAAATAACATGTTGACTGCTATATGTTAACAACACCCAATCAGGCATTGTACCTTGTTTGGGACAGGAAGAGTTAATGTGCCTTTAAGAAGAGTTAAGGAGTCTTACAGCTCATCAGCCCGGCTCTCTAGCGTAGTTGGCTAAACCGGACTGCGCGGTGACCAGGTGACGAACTCCTTGTGGTCCGAGTTCACTCCCGGGGGTAGGCAGAAAAGCCACATTTCCTCCCAGATTTACGGTACCTATAATGGAATCAAGGCCGAAGGGTTGCGATATCCATAGTACCGAGCCAAAGGGTTAACAACTCATGATTTCTGGATATTTAAAAAAAAAAAAAAAAAAACAGCTGATCAACCTGTGCCTTTTCTTTCAGGAGCCATACCATCCACTGCTGTTCTTACTAAACCAGTGATTCCCAAACTGTGCACTGCGGCGCCCCGGGGAGCTGCGACCTCTTCACAGGGGCACCTCGAAATATTTGAAGATACACTAGTTTTATTCATTTTTGTAATCTTTTACACACAATAATTATACTTTTACTTAGGTTAGGGCGCCAAAAAATTTTTTAAAAAGGCACAGCGACTAAGACAAGTTTGGGAGACACTGTACTAAACCACAAAGGTTTTCAAAACTGCTGATGAATTTCAATTTCTGAGACAAGATGTTTATCAGCAAGATTTCTTCCATGCTGAGATCTTAGTTTGAGTATGCGTCTTCTTCTTGATCTTTAATTTCTAAATCTCTACTTAAATTCCAAGTTCAAAAGCCTACATTATTTTTTTCTTCAGTAATTGTTTAACTGGTATAACAAAGTGAATAACAATATTTTATTCATCTGTCAATATATTACATGAAAGTTAAAATAAAAATAAACAATAAATGTGTGTCATTGTTTTCATAAACAACATCACTCCACATTGGGCACTCCCATGCATGCTCAGTCCTCTGATGCAGCAGCCACTCCAAGTTACCTCTACTGATTGTTTCCATGAGGAGTTGGTTATGATGTCTACTATCTCTTCCTGAAAGGCAGCATACACGTGCCTCACCATGCTCTACTACCATGTTATGCACTCGTATTATTGACCGAGATTAGTCATTATCTACAAGGCTGAGCTGAGAGCCAAGGTCTTTTGTGTGTTTTTGTCTTCAGAATCCGCCTGGTGTGGATTCAAACCTAAGATGTTCATTTTGGCAAGCAAGCAAGCATCTAGCCACTATGCTCCTGTGGCTCCCATTACACGACTGGGTTCTGCCAAAACTGCAACATTTATTCCCTAATTATTCCTCGTATAGTTTCGGGGTTCATTTATGGAGAACAAAGAACAGACATACAGCCCCCCCCCCCTTCCTCCCTCAAGCATGTAATAAAAGGCAATTAATCAGGTTTGTTTTCAATGAAGTCAAAGTGCATTTGCCTGAGAGGCGAGGTTCCAGCAGTCTGCACACAAATAAGCCAGATGTGTAAAACAGATCTACACACAAAACTCAAGTTCAGGAACAAGACCAAAGTCCAGAAGCGGACAATGCACAAAAGAGTCCACTAGATTTTACAGTCAGTGAACGCAAAGAAAAGGAATGACAATAATTCCAAAATAAACAAATTAAAAAACAAACGTGGGAAAAATTTACATAACACCCTGCTACTACATATTTTACTCACCTTTTTTGGGCAGGTAGCCAATTGGTGTTTCCTCAGCAATGGAACTGTCTCCCTCACACCTTCTGATAATCCAGTCAAGGACTCTGATGTTCTCACCGTAGCCTGGCCATAAAAACTTGCCCTTCTGATCAACTCTGAACCAGTTGACGTGGAAAATTTTGGGCATCTACAAAATGTAAAATTCAGACTATCATTAGGAACGAGCAAGAAACAATACAAGTGATGTAAAAATAACAATTTGTACGCATCAACCTGCATCGCTCGATCGCGAGCAGGGCTGTAGCTACTGACACGTATTCGCAGGACTTCCGCTCTATCAGATAACTTCGAATCGTAGATGCGGCCAGGCTTTTCACCGATTCCTCCAGAACAGTGGGGATCCGCTTCTTTTCCACCGTGAAACTGACTACCGCCACCTTAACTCTGAGGACTGACAAATTTATTGATTTCTGCGGGTTGAACTGCATTCCAGTCTATTTAACAACGCTGTCCAACCTTTTCAGAATCGTGAGGACAGCTTCCGGTTATGATAGTCGCATCATACATAAATGCACGTAGTGGCGGCATCAGTGTTCCCCAATATGAAGGCATTACACGTAGCCGGCAGCCCCGTCTAACATAGACCAATCAGCACTAGATGGGTGATGTGGTCAACATCACGCAGGACGCCTTTACTTCCCAGGACATTACCTTCTACCATGTTGGCAGCAGATAAGGTCGGTGAGTGGTGTGAGGAAACAGACTCGGTCATCAACCCAGATAAGGTGGAAGTATTGTAGTTTTAAAAAAAAATGTTTTAAAACATAATTATTAGACATGACGATATATGGCAGTAGCATAAAGAGAGACAATTCACTCTGATAACTAGGAATAACTTTTGACAGGAGCTTTCAGACACCATGTGGAAGAGGTAGTTTTGAAGATAGGGAAAGCACTCCATGCTTTCAAGGTGATGGCATCAGTGGACATGGAACAGAAAATGCTCTGTACACTCTACCAGCAACTGATTATTTCGGTGATGGAGTATGGCTTGGGACTGACAACATTACCTCATATCCAAACCGAGACGTTGGTACGCATACAAAATGAAGTCACGCGAGTCATTCTGGGATGTACACAAGACATGTCAATTGTGCGCATGTGGCACATACTTGCATTACCATCCGTGTATGAGAGTTACAAGCTTTTACAGGCAAAAATGTACCTTAAGTTGCAAAGGACAGGGAACACCTTCTGAATGAGGTGTCAGGGGATAGCAAGGGACAGTGGCTGAAAAGAGGTGGCTCCTGGATGGCGCAGGCAGAAGTCATGATCAGAAATGTTTGTGTGACAAGACAGCACGTGGTGAAGAATGAGTTACAGTGCCGCCCAGCGAAACAGACTGGCACAGAGTGATAGTTGCTGTGAACTGAGAGTGCCACTAATGAATAGCTGGTGAAACAGAGTCAATGGTGCAAGAGCTGATCAGTGAAAATTTACGTAAGGAGAGGTAATATGAGTGGGTAGGATTTCATTGCAGAGGGAATGGACACTGCTTGAAAACAGTCTCAGGTACAACATCACTACATCATATATGAGAATGGAGGTTGAGGCAGTAACGGCAGGTTTCTGATGGCTTGAGAAACAGCACAGCCCAACATGTTGTAATTGTAAAAGACTCACAGAGCGTGCTTTGAAAACTGAAACTGGTGTTCTGAGCACAATGTGCAGGCTGACAGACTGACTGCTGCCGCCCTTCTGGGCGGTGAGCTACCATATCATAAGTGGATGTGGTGAAGGTTCTCTGAGATCAAATGGACAGTGCAAAAGAACTGACAGGGAATCCATAGACGGACTCTGGAAGATATTTAATATTAAAGGTGAAACAGATGCAGACTTTGATTCAGGTTGCGACCTGTACTATTAGCATATCAACTCTTCGTTGGTTCCTGAAGAAGGTGACGGAGCACATGTGTGAATCTCCAAAATGCAGTGATGCCAGCTCTTGACTGATTCATGCTTTCAAACCTTTTACTCATTTTAGGTTGAGTTAACCTGGCAGCCAAGATCAATACAAATTAATTTGCCTTGAAGCAGATTTAAACCTAGGACCTTTGGGCTAGAGGCAAGCATCTAGCCACCATGCTATTGTGGCTCCCCCAGAAGCAAAGAAGGAACAATTAATTGTAAATAACAATTATCTGTCATCGAGAATGATACCAAAAAAAAATTTCGCTCTATAATAACTAATGGAAACAAGAGAAAAAAACGTCTGCTAAAAATTACAGTTGGCAAGAGTTTGAGGGACTTGAGGGACATAAACGAGTAATAATATTTTGAAATTTTTTTTTTTAAATATAGAAACTGACTTAGGAAGAGAACTCACTGCCCACATCAGGAGACAATATACATTCTTTCTTCATGTCATGAGTAGAAGAAAACTGGAGGACCTCAGGATGGTAGAAAAGTTGGAAGGGAAAAAAGGCAGAAGGAGACTTGAGAGAGAAGGACATCATGGCAGAGAACTGACTGAAAGTACAGGAGAAAGAAGGCTGTGGATAGGCATGACTACCGATGCCTCAGGGTATGGACTATAAGAAGATCTCGGATTCGGATCCCAGTGAGGGGATATATCAACAATTAAAGAGAGTCAGGTGTATAAAAACAGTTTTTGTACTGGAATAAACTGTAGACAACCACAGTGCTTTCTTTTCATCTACCTTAGCCTAAAAGTAGAACATCATCATCATTATCAAGCAGCAGGTCCTGTGCAGAATGTTGCTTTCATTACTGTCTGCCTGAAAGAAATTCAGTCTTTTGCAGCTCTCGTGCCTCATGTCCTTTCATACTCAAGGAGTCACCTACATCATGGGCCCATCTTCGTGTTGGCCAGCCCCTGCCTCTCCTTCTTGGTACCACGCCTTCTGCTATTACTTTTTCTAATCCGTGATGGCACTTGATATGAACAAAATATTTCAGCTTCGAGACAGGATGCTGTTTATTAGCCAATCTTCCTTGATGTTCAGATCTTTCAAAATGTCAGTATTTCTCCTCTTCTTTGTCCATGGTATTCTGGGAAACTTTCTATAGCATTTCAAAAGTGGAACAGATAGGAACAAACGTGTCAATCGGTTCCCAGTGATTAGTGACAAATCCACAGGGGCTCCAAACTCTTCCTCCATAGCTCCACAAGCATGATCTTCTTTTCAAAGTCCATGCCGTGTGGCATTGGTAGCCATGTCTATCCACAACCTTCTGTCTCGTGTACTTTCAGTCAACTCTGAAACTGATGATCCTCTATGCCATGATGTCAAACTGTCCAGTATCTGTTCTCTCAGTCTCCCTCTGCCTCTCTTCCCCTCCTACTTTCCTACTGTCACAATGTACTCCAGTTTTCTCCTTCTCACCACATGACCAAAGAATGTAGATTGTCTCTTTCTGATGTGAGCAGTCAGTTCTCTTTGTGAGTCAGTTTCTTTCAAGACATCTTCATTACTCATTTTACAAGCATAATACCACTGATAATACTTGTTCTGTGTTGATTAATCAAATGTCATGTGCCCTTAGTGAAACTTTTATGTCTAGCAAGTGAAATTTTTGTCTAGCAAGTGAAACTTTTATGTCTAGCAGGTGAAATGTTTATGTCTAGCAGGTGAAACGTTTATGTCTAGCAAGTGAAATATTTATGTCTAGCAAGTGAAATGTTTATGTCTAGCAAGTGAAACTTTTATGTCTAGCAAGTGAAATGTTTATGTCTAGCAAGTGAAATGTTTATGTCTAGCTAGTGAAACTTTTATGTCTAGCAGGTGAAATGTTTATGTCTAGCAAGTGAAACTTTTATGTCTAGCAGGTGAAATGTTTATGTCTAGCAAGTGAAATGTTTATGTCTAGCAAGTGAAATGTTTATGTCTAGCAAGTGAAACTTTTATGTCTAGCAGGTGAAATGTTTATGTCTAGCAAGTGAAATGTTTATGTCTAGCAAGTGAAACTTTTATGTCTAGCAGGTGAAACTTTTATGTCTAGCAAGTGAAATGTTTATGTCTAGCAAGTGAAACTTTTATGTCGAGCAGGTGAAATGTTTATGTCTAGCAGGTGAAATGTTTATGTCTAGCAGATGAAATGTTTATGTCTAGCAGGTGAAATTTTTATGTCTAGCAAGTGAAACTTTTATGTCTAGCAAGTGAAACTTTTATGTCTAGCAGGTAAAACTTTTGTCTAGCAAGTGAAATGTTTATGTCTAGCAGGTGAAATGTTTATGTCTAGCAGGTGAAACTTTTATGTCTAGCAAGTGAAATGTTTATGTCTAGCAAGTGAAACTTTTATGTCTAGCAGGTGAAATGTTTATGTCTAGCAAGTGAAACTTTTATGTCTAGCAGTTGAAATGTTTATGTCTAGCAAGTGAAATGTTTATGTCTAGCAAGTGAAACTTTTATGTCTAGCAAGTGAAATTTTTGTCTAGCAAGTGAAATGTTTATGTCTAGCAAGTGAAACTTTTATGTCTAGCAGGTGAAATGTTTATGTCTAGCAAGTGAAACTTTTATGTCTAGCAGGTGAAATGTTTATATCTAGCAAGTGAAATGTTTATGTCTAGCAATTGAAATGTTTATGTCTAGCAAGTGAAACTTTAATGTCTAGCAGGTGAAATGTTTATGTCTAGCAAGTGAAACTTTTATGTCTAGCAGGTGAAATGTTTATGTCTAGCAAGTGAAACTTTTATGTCTAGCAGGTGAAACTTTTATGTCTAGCAAGTGAAATGTTTATGTCTAGCAAGTGAAACTTTTATGTCTAGCAGGTGAAATGTTTATGTCTAGCAGGTGAAATGTTTATGTCTAGCAGGTGAAATGTTTATGTCTAGCAGGTGAAATGTTTATGTCTAGCAAGTGAAACTTTTATGTCTAGCAAGTGAAACTTTTATGTCTAGCAGGTAAAACTTTTGTCTAGCAAGTGAAATGTTTATGTCTAGCAGGTGAAATGTTTATGTCTAGCAGGTGAAACTTTTATGTCTAGCAAGTGAAATGTTTATGTCTAGCAAGTGAAACTTTTATGTTTAGCAGGTGAAACTTTTATGTCTAGCAGGTGAAATGTTTATGTCTAGCAAGTGAAACTTTTATGTCTACAGGTGAAATGTTTATGTCTAGCAAGTGAAATGTTTATGTCTAGCAAGTGAAACTTTTATGTCTAGCAAGTGAAATTTTTGTCTAGCAAGTGAAACTTTTATGTCTAGCAGGTGAAATGTTTATGTCTAGCAAGTGAAATGTTTATGTCTAGCAAGTGAAACTTTTATGTCTAGCAAGTGAAATTTTTGTCTAGCAAGTGAAACTTTTATGTCTAGCAGGTGAAATGTTTATGTCTAGCAAGTGAAACTTTTATGTCTAGCAGGTGAAATGTTTATGTCTAGCAAGTGAAATGTTTATGTCTAGCAAGTGAAACTTTTATGTCTAGCAAGTGAAATGTTTATGTCTAGCAGGTGAAATGTTTATGTCTAGCAGGTGAAATGTTTATGTCTAGCAAGTGAAACTTTTATGTCTAGCAGGTGAAATGTTTATGTCTAGCAAGTGAAATGTTTATGTCTAGCAAGTGAAACTTTTATGTCTAGCAAGTGAAATGTTTATGTCTAGCAGGTGAAATGTTTATGTCTAGCAAGGAAACTTTTATGTCTAGCAGGTGAAATGTTTATGTCTAGCAAGGAAACTTTTATGTCTAGCAGGTGAAATGTTTATGTCTAGCAAGTGAAACTTTTATGTCTAGCAGGTGAAATGTTTATGTCTAGCAAGTGAAACTTTTATGTCTAGCAGGTGAAATGTTTATGTCTAGCAAGGAAACTTTTATGTCTAGCAGGTGAAATTTTTATGTCTAGCAGGTGAAATGTTTATGTCTAGCAGGTGAAATGTTTATGTCTAGCAGGTGAAATGTTTATGTCTAGCAAGTGAAATGTTTATGTCTAGCAAGTGAAACTTTTATGTCTAGCAGGTGAAATGTTTATGTCTAGCAAGTGAAATGTTTATGTCTAGCAAGTGAAATGTTTATGTCTAGCAAGTGAAACTTTTATGTCTAGCAAGTGAAATTTTTGTCTAGCAAGTGAAACTTTTATGTCTAGCAGGTGAAATGTTTATGTCTAGCAAGTGAAACTTTTATGTCTAGCAGGTGAAATGTTTATGTCTAGCAAGGAAACTTTTATGTCTAGCAAGTGAAATGTTTATGTCTAGCAAGTGAAACTTTTATGTCTAGCAGGTGAAATGTTTATGTCTAGCAAGTGAAACTTTTATGTCTAGCAGGTGAAATGTTTATGTCTAGCAAGTGAAACTTTTATGTCTAGCAGGTCTAGATTTCACCCCTCTATGTCCACCAGCCTGGACAGGGACACACAGTCATGCCGTTTGCTGTATTCATCTTTGCATTGCATTGATGAAATTGTTTCTGTCCAATACTGGACCAGTCATAGCAAACCACTGCCTCTCCAAAAGCATGTCGTAAGAGTCAACTAATTGGGGAGCTTCCTTTGAAGTCGGAGTGTATCTGCCGGAGAGGCAAGGAACCAACAGTCTGTATTCAAGAGAATGAGATCTGTAAAACTGATGCACCCGCAACACTCAGGTTCTGGAGCAGGACTGCAGTTCAGTAATGGACGAGCAACCAGAACTTTCCGCCAGAGTGTACAGCTGGTGAACGCAAAGAAGAAGAAGGAGATAGCAAATGCAGTGTCCAACAGATAATCTGCAAATTCAGTGGTTCCCAGTGAGCCTCTATCAAGGCGGAGAGTGTCAGTAAGGAAATCAATTGTACAAGACCACTGCCCTCTATCCCGAACCCTGAACTAGAAGTGGCGTGGATAAGAATATGAGTTTTTATTACAAAAATAAATTAAAAAAAAAGAGGCATACTTTGCGTGTTGGCTTCTCCAAATCCAGCCAATGTTGCAGATAGTGTCCAAAATTGTAGCCCATAAATGGTCTCATTGCCATTGGGTCATGCATGATGTTCTTGCCTGATGGGATTATAAGATGGTATTTAATAATTCTATAATAGTAATTGTGACATAAAACTGTTCTGTATTTTACACAAGACAAATTATAAACTAAAAATATTATAAAAGTAATGAAAATCTAGGTTTTTTTCACATATTTCATAAAAATATGATGCCTTTAAAAAAAATTGTTTGTTTTGCTCTATAGCAGCGGTTTTCAACCTGTGGGTCGCAATCTTTTGGGGGTCGACCAAACCTTCCACAGGGGTCGCCTAAGACCGCGAAAAACACATATTTTCTGAAGTTATGAAGTAGCAACGAAAATAATTTTATAGCTGGGGGTTTCAACAAGATGAGGAACTGTATTAAAGGGTTGCAGCATTAAGAAGTTTGAGAACCATTGCTCTATAGTATTTCCCTCCAGAATTGCAGTATGTATGAAGTATATAAATGACTGGTATCTATGACACTGATTCATAATTACTTGTTGTAAATAATAATTTATGACTGAGCAAATTAAATTATCTTTACGTGGTTAAGAGATCAGTGACTAAGTTTCACAATTCACTGATGTACTAGGCTCTCATTTGGGTGGCATGTTATTTAGGAAAATGAGTTCTTGTGGATTTTTTTTGGTTAGTGGTATGAGAGTTGCACCAGGAAGAGACTTGGCTTCACCACTTAATATTCACAAAGACGGCTGATCCCCATTGTGGAGGTGGTATTAAACATTATAGTTTCTATTAACTTTTTCAGTCCCAAGTGACATATAATGTGTGAATGGTTCTCTCCCCCACCTTGAGTGGTATCACACCTAGTAGATCTGGTAACAATATATTAAAGAAATGTGGCTTCAGCATTGTTTGCCCTTTAAAAAAAAACGTTGAATGCTGAATCAAAAATCAACCTCAGAGTACTCTGGATACTTCCATAAGCACTCAGTCCCCATCTTCAGCATCAAGCACAACTCTGATTTTACTAGTAACAGTCTGATTGTATATATGTCTCACATTTTCTCTGAGTGTTGAGCATTGGCCAGTTCCCTTTTAAGGGTAATATATCCTACATTTGAAGTTGATTGTGAACTTACTCTTAAAGATGCAATTACAAATTGTTATAGTAGTTATTGTAGGTTGTTTGGTCATGTGATGAGAAAAGGAGCACCAGAACTGTGATGACGGGAAAGATCACTGGTAGAAGAGGCAGACCAAGAGAAATGATGGTGGATGGTTTAAGACAGTGGCATGGAGGAATATCAACAGTGGAACTGATCCAGAGCACCAAAGACCATGATCTATGGAGATGCAAGAACGTCTACATCAGCTGGCAAGGCACTTGGTTATTGTGATAACAAGTGTCTCCTGGTTAGTTACTGCTGAGAAATCTCCTGGGACTAACAGAGTTAAAAACAGAACAAAGCTGATTTTTTTAAACATAAATTAACATCCAGGAGATATGAAGAAACAGCAATGACCAGTTTTGAAAAAGTGAATATGGTCAGTTGAATTATAAGCTTCATGTCAGATCAATGATTACCCTACATATTTAAGAGTGGTTGTTAACTAAAGGATCCTCTTGCATGGTCTTCTTGTGTCCTAATGCCTATGCCAAAAAAATCATTGCTGAAAGGAGTTATATGTAGTTTCCTGTCTTTTTTAAAATTGAATGTTGAATTAAGAATCCACATCACAGCACTCGGGACACCCTATAAGTGCTCCATCCCCATCTACAGCAGCAAGCGAAGAGTTAAAATTCTGATGGTATCAGTAACTGTCTGACTGTATATCCCTCTCGCCTTTTCCTCAAGTGTTGAGCATCGGCCAGATCCCCTGGCAACTCCTCGCAGCGCCATTCCCCTCAGACCGTAATGATCTATTTGCACTTCCGTACTGTTCACTCGCTCCCAAAGGGCCCTCACAACATCTGGCTTGTCATAAATCAGTACACCACCAAGTGGTGCAGAGCCAGCCAGTTTAGCTGCCTGCTCATTTCCCAACACATGGACATAACCTGGAGAGAATATCCAAAGGATGCTAACTACCCGGGACCTCAGAAATGATGCTTGCCACTCTGCATAGTCATACATCAGTTCACCACCAAGTGGTGCATATCCAGCCAGTCTGTCTGCCTGCTCATTTCCCTATACACCAGCATGACCTAAAAAAAATTACCAAAGGATGCTAACAACCCGGAACCTCTGAAGTGATGCTTACCACTCTGCTCGAAGCATGCCTGTCTTCACCTTTCTCAACATGCACTGTGAGTCAGTTACAATCACAGCATGTGTGTACAGCTAATTCTCAAGCCAGTGGTAGGCAGCACTGACTGCCTCCACCTCCATTCTCAAACTAGACATTGTGATATCATATGCCAGGCTTTGCTGCACTAAGCGACGTCCATTTGCCTTTGCTATCAACCCCCATGCACTTCGTCTGCTCCTCAACACAGAGCCATCTGTATATACAATCACATGACCTGGGTGGGAATTTTCATGAATCATTTGTTGAACTTCTAATTCTGCAGCACCAGCTGGCCAGTTCCTGTCTTTTGTTAGCTGTGTAGCTTGTGTAAATATCATATCGTCTTTCTGTAGTGTCTGTTTTACTCTGTCCACCCATATTTTTCTTGGTCGGCCTCTTGACTTGTAGCCTGCTGTTCTCATGTAGTATGCTTCAGCTGCTGGCTGATTTCATTCCATTCTGACCAGAATACAAAAACAGTTGATTCTTTGATGTTTTAAGAAATCACTTACTGGTACTATGCCTACCATTGCTCTTACTTCTTCGTTGGTGACTGTCTCTTCTCCCCCCACCCCCGCCACACACACACATTAAAGGATGGTCACTCTATTCACGAGAGTGATAACCCTAGACATGAGAGTAGTGGTGAACTTGAAGGATGGCCACCCAATGCAAGAAGTGGTTGTGACCTTGAAGGATGGTTACACTTCAAATGAGTGTAGTGGCAAGCTAAAGGATGGTCTCCCTACACATGAGAGTGATTGTGAATTTAAAATTGTTACCCTAGATATGAGAGTGGTGGTGAACTTGAAGGATGGTTGCATTACATATCAGGGTGGCTGTGAACTTGAATGATTACCCTACACACAAGAGTGGTTGTGAACTTTAAGGATGGTTTCCCTACATATGGTGGTGACAGTAAACTTTAAGGATGGTTTCCCTACATATGGTGGTGACTGTGAACTTTAAGGATGGTTTCCCTACATATGGTGGTGACTGTGAACTTTAAGGATGGTTTCCCTACATATGGTGGTGACTGTGAACTGCAAGGATTGTTTCCCTATATGGTGGTGACTGTGAACTTTAAGGATGGTTGCCCTACATATGGTGGTGACTGTGAACTTTAAAGATGGTTTCCCTACATATGGTGGTGACTGTGACCTCTAAGGAAAGTTACCCTACACAAAACAGTGGCTGTGATCTTGAATGAAAGGTTATCCTACATAAAATAGTGTGAACTGACCCTGGTGTTCAGCAGCTGCAGTTGCCTCTGACTTGACACAAGCTCCAGTCATGACACCATGGGCCCAGCTCTTGGCTTCAAACACCAGAGGCACACCTGCATTCAGCATGAGAGAAAAGTGTTTTCAACAATGAGCTGCATGTTTGCCTTCAATGTCATCATCATCCTCATCATCACCATCACCCAAGCCATCCAGGTATTTATCTTTTTGCTCTCTTCATGTTCACCGTCCATTAATCCTGCTAGCTGTTGCCAAAATCTGGAATCCGTTCCTTCTCATAACATGTAGAAAAAAACCACTGACTGTCTATGTCTAACTGTGCTTTAAACATGGCACCTGACAATTGAGTACCGGCACTAAATAAATTGTTTCCTTCTGGCGGTGCATGATAAGGACAGAACTACTATTTTAAATATTCAAGACTTCATCTGCTCTTCATCGCCCAGTAGAGCCAAACAGGCCCTCAACCAACTCATGCCAAGTTGTCCTACCTTTTGCTACCGCGTGCAGGTTACAAGCAATACCCTTTCCATATTTTTTAACTAACTTCAATCTCTAGTTCCCTTCTTCGTGTGTTTTTTGCCTAGCCTTTATCATTCTACGAATCTGCGGGTTTCGGTGTACTAGTTATACAGTTCTCAGGCATTCAAGTCTTAGACCGTCGGAAACCAGGACCATTTGACTAGTAATGTCGTTGTGTTGGTGGTTCTGCAAAGTGATGCCATAGCACTTAGAACACAAACATAATTGCTTCATCTTCCCTTGAAGACATTCATCAGACATATGTATGAGTATGAATGCTAACACTCCTGACATACTCAGATATGACATACATCTAACATCTTTACACAAAGTATGCAACAATGACAGAGTTAGCTAGCATACAGAGAATAAATATACAGTGAAAAGGAGTGATTTTACTCAATATGGAAGATACGCAGCTTACTGTTTTTAGTAAAGGCAATATTTTGCTTCTAACAATAGTTAGCTGTTACATTTTTCTCTATATGTAGACTGAAAGGATATAGTTCTGTTGCCCAGCTACTGAGCTGAGTGCGTGGTGTGATACAGTGAGCTGCAAATTTCATTTGGAATGTTTTTTAACTGTGTCTAACATGGTTTACGTTGTGAATTGTAGATTCAGAAAATGGCAAGTGGCCTGTTGCTGCAGAACTAACTTGTGATGCCTTATGTGATTAACTGCGTGTGCAACTTCTGATCTGTTGCAACTTTTGCTTCTATCGATGATAAACTATTTCTAGTGTCGGACTGTTTGTGTTGGCATGTCTGACTGCTGATTATGCATTCAATGTGGGTGTATGGACCAGTTTTATCAGGTCATTATCATATTAGGAAGATAAAACAGAGAGTGGTGTAATGGTATGGCAGAATTAGAGGTACAACAAACTTGATATTTGAAAACGCTGGGCTAGATGATGCAACAGTGCACTGTACACTGAAGGTTCTGTACATTGAGGTGTAAGATCTGGCTGGGGATTTTCAGCTAGAGTGAAAGGAAAGATTGTGGCTGAACAAAATGGTGCTTTTTTAATCTACAACTTCAAGCATGAGGATGGAGGCAATAGCTGCAGCTCTGAAGTGGATAGCTAAAAAGACAGTTACTGGAGGAATTATAGTGTCTGATTCTCAGTCAATACTAGAAGGTTCTAAATGGACAAATGTGGCATGAGTGGAAATACTCATTTAGCTTGTAAAGAGGCAGTGAGTGCATTCCCTTCCCCCCATTTTTTTTAAACGGCTCCCTCCCAAAATGAGGCCCTGAAACCAATATGGGTTCAGTTCAACTGACCCATACGAGAAATTTAACTGCATAAAAAAGTTAGATTTTAATCATGGATTTTACCACAATTCACTCGGGCACGAGATTTCGTATTTGAAAACGTTTTTCCTGTTTCTGTGATGTTGTGATAGAACATGTGCTGTTTTCTTATGATGGGTCACCTACTCTTATTTATGAGTTTGTATCTTTCAAAACATGTGTTTCACTTTTTAATCTGTCGACTGTGTCCTCACCATTTATCTGTCTTCTTTTTCTCCTTAGTCTTGAGCAGCTGTAAACTCTGGCGGAAAAGGCTGGCTGTTCATCCACTCTCGGATTTTGTTCTTGATCCAGAACTTGAGTTTTGCCTGCACATCCATTTTACAGATCTGGCTTATTTGTATGCAGATTGTTGGTTCCTGGCCTCTCAGGCAGATGTACTCTGACTCTGAAGGAAACACTCCTAATCAGTTCACTTCTACAACACTGTTTGTTGGGGGGCAGTTGGTCTATTCCCCCCCCCCCCCCCCCCCAAATGGAGCTTCAGAAGCCACATGGAAAAGCAAAGTCCCTGCAATAAAGGGTTATTCAAAATGATGGATACACTTTCATTCACGTATATTTCCTTGAACATTTATTAATAATATTCACACAAGAGAGTGAGGAAGGTCTGAAGTTTACAAACTTACAATAAAGGTTAGAGATGTTTGATACGGTCACCGTCTGCTGCTCGGCAAAGATCTAAGCAGTAGCCGAAGTCACACACATAAGGAAGCATCTCTTTTGTGAGTTCACTGCTTGGGCAAAACTCGAGTAGCTGGTTATGCAGCTGTGCTCTAGCAGCAGTATTCAAAACTTTAGACTTTCCACACTCTCTTCTATGTATATTATTAATATTCACGGAAATATGCACGAATGAAAGTGTATCCATCATTTTGAATAACCTGTAGTTTGATTTTAAAAAAAAAATTATTAAAAATTATTATGAATGATACAATCAAGGTCACTAACCAACAGGACGACGGCCACCAAATATGATAGCACTAATTGGAACTCCCTCAGGATCTTCCCATTTGGGATGTATGATGGGACACTGAGATGCAGGCGCTGTGAAACGGGAGTTTGGGTGAGCAGCTTTCCTTGGGCAGCCTGGGTGCCATGGGTTGCCCAGCCAGTCAATAATGCCAATACCCTGGCACACACACAGAAAAAGCAACAACACATTAAGTGGATGAAAAATGGGGTCTGGAAACCCCACAGAGAAAGATATATTCAATAGACCTTTAAAACACTATATATTTACAGGGAGCCACTGTGTTGTAGTGGCTAGAGCCTCGCTTGAAGATCAGAAGGTCAGGTTTCGAGTTCTGACAGCACCAGACTTTAAAAAAAAATGACTTTGGCTTCCTGGTCGACCAAGCCTTGAACTGGTGCCAGGTGAAGTCCTGAGAAATAAAGACTGACTGTATGATGCTGATCACGTCACCCACCAAATGCCCATAGGTTTATAAAATAAAGGTCTAGCCCTATATGCCCAATACACCTGCAGGCGTGGAAAGAGTCCTTTACTATATATTTACATTGCTGATAATATTACTTTACTGTATATTTACATTGCTGATAATTTTACTTTTCTATATATTTACATTGCTGATAACATTACTTTACTATACATTTACATTGCTGATAATATTACTTTATATTTACATTGCTGATAATATTACTTCGCTATATATTTACATTGCTGATAATATTACTTTGTTATACATTTACATTGCTGATAATACTACTTTGCTATACATTTACATTGCTGGTAATACTACTTTGCTATACATTTACATTGCTGACAATATTACTTTGCTATACATTTACATTGCTGACAATATTGCTTGGCAATACATTTACATTGCTGATAATATTACTTTGCTATATATTTACATTGGGAGTCGCTATGGCCGAGCGGCTAGATGCTCGCCGCAGATCGGAAGGTCGTGGGTTCGCTCCCTGGTGGAGCCGGTCTTTTAAAAAAAATGAGTTTGGCTCCTAGGCCGACCCAACCTCAAGTGGGTACCGGGTGCAGTCCCGGGAAGTAAAGGCGGCCGTCGTGATGCTGACCACATCTCCCATCTTGTGCCCATCTGTCTATAAAAATATAGGTCCAGCCCTATATGCCCTATACGCCTAAAGGCGTGGAAAAGGGTCCTTTACCTTCACTTTTACTTACTTATATATTTATACTGCTGATAATATTACTTTACTATATATTTACACTGCTGATAATATTACTTTACTATATATTTACACTGCTGATAATATTACTTTACTATATATTTACACTGCTGATAATATTACTTTACTATATATTTATACTGCTGATAATATTACTTTACTATATATTTACACTGCTGATAATATTACTTTACTATATATTTACACTGCTGATAATATTACTTTACTATATATTTACACTGCTGATAATATTACTTTACTATATATTTACACTGCTGATAATATTACTTTCTTATATATTTACACTGCTGATAATATTACTTTACTACACATTTACACTGCTGATAATATGACTCTACTATAGATTTACATTGCTGATAATATTTTTTTTTAATTTATCATCGATATGTTTGGTGTAATTCTGTACAGATATTGCTTCCATAATCTGGTTCACAGCTGCCTATGTTAGGATCAACTAGATCTTCTCTGTACAAGTGGTCAGTGCAAATTATTAGCCTGCTTGTGTCCTTCAGTTACTTTACTGAAGTCCCCGTGTGGGTTCCGAGGCCCCATTGTGGGGTAAACAAGAATAGATCCACTGCATCCCCAACAAGAATCTTGTGAGAGTCCTAATTGGGGGGTATTTCTTCAAAGTCAGAGTGCATCTGCCAAACAGGCACAAAACCAATAATCTGCGTACAAGTAATTCAGAGCTGTAAAATGGATGTGCACGCTACACTCAGGTTCTAGAACAAGACTAATAATGTACAGAGGTAGACGAACAACCAGAACTTTCCGACAAAGTTTTACAGCCGAAGAAGAAGAAGAAGAAGATGACTTCACTGAAGTGTTGGGGGAGATGTAAAGATCTTCTGTATGCTCTTTCCAATCCACTGTATAAGCTGCTATCAATTTTGTTAAGGCTGTTCCAATGCTGTTGCTTCATCTTTTGCATGCTCTTCCCTTGTTCTGTGTTCATTATATTTCTTCAGCATGGCTTTCTGTGGTAGTGGTTCCAGAGAATTTTTGTCAGATAGCCAAACTACTTCATTTATGTTTTCTCAACAGCTTATGCCGTAAAGCATAACAAAGAGGGGTTACATATAGATTGCAGTCTTTTGCTAGTTGTGTAGCTTGTGTTACTGTGAAATTCCATTTCTGTAGTTTCTCTTTTACTTCCTCCACCCATTTATTTCCTGGGCAGCCTCTTGACTGGTAGCCTAATGCTCTCATGTAGTTCGCTCTAGCTACTGGCTGATTTCATTCCATTCTGACCTGATGACCAAACCATTTGATTCTTTGATGTTCTACTAAATCATTTACCGACACTGTGCCTACCATTGTTTTTAGTTGTTCACTGGTAACTCTGTCTCTACTTTTTTCATGCCACACTTCTTTTGCTATTGCTTTTTTTAAATTGCATTTATACTGCTCTTTAATGAGATGTTTAGGCCATGTTGTCACATTATCTAATCCCAACCTTCCAAAAGCTGGGAAACTGAACCTCGTAGTTACAGAATGCCACAGAGGGTCCTTAATTTTTGCTATTGCTTTTTGTTTTCTACTGCATTTCCATAGCTTTTTAACAAGATCTTAAGCCATGATATGACATGATATAATCTCACCCTCACAAAATCGGGGAAACTGAACCTCGTAGTTACAGAATGCCACAGAGGACCATAAAATAAAATGAAAAATTATAAAACCTTTGGTATTACATCCTCAAGTCCCTCCCAGAAGTATCCTCCATCAACTGTTTCGGCCACATTCTAACCAGATAACGAAACCATTTGATTCCCTGATGTTCTACTAAATATTTGCTGGTACTGTGCCTACCAGTGTTTTAGTTGTTTACTGGTGACACTCTACTTGTTTTGTTTTTTCATGCCACACTTCTTTTGCTATTGCTTTTTTCATCTACTATTGCATTTCCATAGCTCTTTAGTGAGATGTTAAGCTATATCACATGATCTAATCTCACCCTCCCTAAACCTGGGAAACTGAACCTCGTATTTACAGAATGCCAAAGGGGACCATAAAATAAAATGAAAAATGACAAAACCTTTGGTATTTCATCCTCAAGTCCCTCCCAGAAGTAGCCTCCGTCAGCTGTCTCAGCCACATTGGTAAAAATGCTGTTGCACTGGAAAGACAGCATGGCATTGGGGTTTGTCTTCATGTTGGTTCCTGGAGCTACACCGAAAAAGCCCGCCTCTGGGTTAATGCCACGCAAAACACCCTTGTCATCGAACCGCATCCAAGCAATGTCATCTCCTGGATAGAATCATAAAAGAGATCATTAGACGTGGTCACACATAGTGATTGCAGCATGTGCCTACCAGTAACATATAGAAAACAAATATGCATAGCAGTGAGAGAATTTCCCTGGCAAGACAATAGAATGCGGCGTCCGTGGCTAAGGCGTTGCGAGTCCGACTCGTGAGCCAGCATACCGCGATCGAAACCCACTGCAGGCTGCGTGGATTTTTGTCGTGGTATGGGACGTCGCAGGTTGACCCAGCCTAAAATGGGTACCAGGATGGGCTGTCCTGGGAAAGTAAAGACAGCCGGCGTAATGCTGACCACATTACCCACAGAGTGCTGATGGTCTGTAAAAATATGGGACGCTCTGCCCATATGCCCGATGCGCCGAAAGGCGTGAAAAGGGAACTTTACTTTTTACTTTTTTTTAAAGACAATAGAATAAAAATTTAAAAAATAAAAATGTACTTTGGTGAGAGCATCTGCTAGTCAAGACGGTAATAGTAATAATTTTAAAAATCGTAGACATAGTGGTGAAAACATTTGCTTGTCAAGAGAGTAACATTCAATAAAAGTGTGCACTGTGGTGAGAGCATTCGCCGTCCAAGACAGTTAAATTAAAAAACAAAACTGACTCTTTTTAACTCTATCAGTACCAAGCAACACACCATGTGTTTGTCAGGTTCTTTTACATTACAAATTTTATTAACTCTTTGTGTCACATTCAACTGTGACATTAATTGTCTATCCCAGTTGTCATTTCAACTACTTCTGTCACAAGTAATATCATTTGTTACCTCCATCAGGACTAAATAGTCAAGACTTTAAAGCAACATACGTTTAAGATGCAGGGGATTTGAAAACGCTGAAACATGACTTGGTTCTTTTATTTTTTTCCACCCCATCTCAGGGACGTTGAGATTTCATGGGCAGTTCTCGGGAAAGTCCAATAGTATAGAGGTGTTAGGATGTGAAATGAACACCAACTAACACTGACACCCCACACCCCCCCCCCCCCCCATTATAAGAGTGGAATTTCCTGGGAACTCCCTAAGAAATCTTGGAACGCCCGAAATGGGGTGAAATAAATTAAAGAACCCATGACTTTCTCAAAACAAGCTTCTAGGTGACTTTAGCATTGCATCAATGATATGTTAGCCAGACTGTATTTACAACATATACTACGTCTGCTTACATTAATTCATTACAGGTAAACTTGTAGTTTATTTCTCCTGAAAATAACTCAACAAGAGAAAACTATTACCTTCGCCTGTAAAATTACCTACAGCTAGGCATCAGAGCAGAAGGAAGTAAAGGTTAAAGGTAAAGATCTTCATTGTGTTCATTAGCTGTAAACAACTCCAGTGTAAGTTTCTGGTTGAGTTTCCACTTTTAGACTTTGGTCTTTCTGTATGCACATCCATTTTACAGACCTGACTTATTTATGTGCAGACTGTTGGTTTCTCACCTCTCATGCGGATGCATTCTGAGTTTGAAGAAAATGTTGATACTATCTTATGTTGGCCTGACCCCCAGCTTGGAACCAGTGTCTAAAAAAAACCATTGTGGAACCAGATTGCTTACTCATAGTTTACTTTAAATGTCACTTACCCACACATTTTGTCACTTACCCACACATTATGTCACTTACCCACACATTGTGTCACTTACCCACACATTATGCCACTTACCCACACATTATGTCACTTACCCACACACTACGTCACTTACCCACACATTATGTCACTTACCCACACATTGTGTCATTTACCCACACATAATGTCACTCACTCACACATTATGTCACTTACCCACACACTGGATCTTGAAGCCTGGAAGGCTAGGGTTCAACATTGCCAAGTTTGTCTTACCACAGGCACTAGGGAAGGCAGCTGCCAGGAAGTGCTCTTTGCCTTCTGGGGTAGTGACACTCATGATCTGAGGTACAAGAGAACCAGGCATCACAGAGTGCTTCAGGCAGTGTGTATGTGTGTGTGTAAGAAGGGAGTTGCACGCAGGTTTTTTTTTCTGGTGGTGGTACGCAACGGTACTTAATAACGACGCCATTTTTTAGGTATTCTTTTGTTTTTTGAATTAGCACCTCCGTATTACTCATTATGGTGAGTACTGGCACCTTTTATTGCCATTTTGTGGTGAGTAAGAACAGCAATTTGTTTGTTTGTTTCCTTTTTTTTACTAGGAGAAACCCCTGGTTGTAGGGAGAAGGCAGACAGACTGAAAGTGTGAGATGGGCAGCAAAGGGGCCTGGAAGGAGGAAACAAATTAGAGTGATTCTTATTTTGTTAACACAATCAACATTACTGCAAAGCGGGCATGCCCATGCATGCACAGTCCTCTGATGCAGCAGCCACCCCAAGGTATCTCTACCGATTTCCCTTCATGAGATGTTGGTTACAATATCATCTATCTTCATCTATAGGCCATTTCTACCCTCTTATAATTTTAGTTCCATTTTCAACTGAACTGAAATAAACGTCAACAAAGAGTTCACATACATAAATGAACATAACAATTTATTACCTGGTATATTTCATTGACATTTGCCAAGACAGGTAATACATAATAAAAAGAGATGAAGTAATAAATGCACAAACACACACACACACCAAACTCAAATATAACTAACTGCCAGTGTTAGTGAAATAAATGTAACACAAGTGGCAGTTTTGTTGAGCTGAGCTGAGCTAAGTTAAGAACCACCACAACAGCTCTTTGGACAATCCCATATGTGCATGTGACTTTGTTTTAAATAGCAAGGGCATAACCGATATCATGATAACATTCCTTTCCCAGAAACATAGCTGAAACAGCGATACAGGTGAAGAGAATGGACAGAGCAATACATGTGAAGAGAATGGACAGAGCAATACATGTGAAGAGAATGGACAGAGCAATACATGTGAAGAGAATGGACAGAGCAATACATGTGAAGAGAATTGACAGAGCAATACACATGAAGAGAGTGGACAGAGCAATACATGTGAAGAGAATGGACAGAGCAATACATGTATGTGAAGAGAATGGACAGAGAAATACATGTATGTGAAGAGAATGGACAGAGAAATACATACGGAGAGAATGGACAGAGCAATACATGTGAAGAGAATGGACAGAGAAATACATGTATGTGAAGAGAATGGACAGAGCAATACATGTAAAGAGAATAAACAGAGAAAAACATGTGAAGAGAATGGAGAGAGCAATGCATGTGAAGAGAATGGTAAAAACATTACAAAGAGCAAAGCTTTCGATCATCACCCTCATCTTCATCCCAGGACATGCATGCATGAAAGACATTGATAGGGTCTAGGCAACAATACCCTAGGAAATGACAGAATGGGCTTTAGGAATGCAATATGGGAGACAACATATGATAAAGAGCTGAAACATAAGGATAATTTCTCTCCGACTTCGATGGGAAGTCTAGATATACCAAGTGGAGCAGCGCAAGGTGAAAACAATGCAGGAGCTTACAGTTGCTACAGCAACCAGTAAGGAACAAGAGTCGTCAACGTAAACACGCTAAAAATATGCTTAGGTCAAGACTGGAGTAATTTTGGTATGCTTGACATGCAATGAAGATAAGTCTTGAAAAGAACAATGAAAGCAGAAACAGTAGCTCACCAACATGTGCTCGGCCATCCATCCCTCATCTCTAGCAATGACACTAGCAATCCTCAAGGCAAAGCACTTCTTGCCCAAGAGAGAGTTGCCACCATAACCACTGCCAAAGGATTTGATTTTCCTCTCCTCTGGGAAGTGAGTGATCATGACTTTCTCTGGATTACAGGGCCAGTGGTTAATCACACGCCCTGTAACATATTTTGTACAATCAATGAATCGACGGCTAAACTTTTCAAGAGGATCAAACAGACGTATTCATCTTGCAAAACTGTTATCTCAGCTGATATGATGGATGTACCGGAGAAGCTGTTCCAAAGAGCATGACCCCTGAGAACCTTCACAGACCTGCACTCATGAACTAATGGACTGAGTTCCAAACCAAAACCAATAATCATCAGAGCATTAAGCAGCAACTTTACTTCACCACAGAAATAGATGCTGTCATTTCTATAGTTTATTCTTTTTCATTTCTAAATAGACCTCTATGTTAATGACTACAAATAACTCTTTCAGTCACAAGGGGTTTAGCATCACAGGCCCAAGTGGTAGTAAAGATAGACGTAAAATTGGTGCATCTTGCGTTCACTGGGCTCCTAGGTAGGAAGCTATGAATGAATGATGCATTCCTTGGGACTCAAAGAGTTAAAGAGCAGTAATTAATTTCTGATTCATGATATTCCCAGATGGTTTTTCACAGAATGAAGTTGGTTAAGGCAATATTGATCTACCTGGCTTGTGGGCTGCAGAATCAAGTTTAAACATTTGATTGTGAATCCTAGATATAGTAGTAATTTAAATACTGATATCCCGTTCAACCCATCTAGGTTACAACTGGCATAGATGTTTGTTACTTAATACATGTAAGAGGTCCCTTTTCCACGCCTTTAGGCATAAAGGGCATATAGGGCTAGACCTATATTTTTATAGACCAAACGGCACACGATGGGTGATGTGGTCAGCATCACGTTGACTTAATACAGGAATCCTAGATAATCTGAAAACAAACAAAGAATCCTTATGGTCCTCAGCAATGTGAATTTACAGAAGCCAACAAATACGACTTTTCAACTTGGCCCTGAAAAAAATTCTATGGAAACTGAAACAAGAGTGTACTGTATGAGAATCTACAAGAATACTTGCATATGCTGATGACACTGATATCGTTAGAGAAAATGAACTAGAGACTGTTAAAACACTGACTCTCTTAAAAGAATCAGCTCAGAAAATGGGACTAGTTATCAATCAAGAAGACAGAATACATGATAATAAACTAGACAGGGAAAGGATATAAATTCCGGCATCATACAAGTCAATAATATGAAAATCAAACGAACGGAAACACAAACACTTCGGTGAAAACTTCAACAGCTCCCACATGCTGAGAGAAGAAATACAATCTAGAATACAATCTGGAAATAAAGTAAACTATGCCCTTCAACATCTGCTAAAGTCAAAGTGTCTGTCTCGCAACACCAAGATCAAAATATATAAAATGTTGATAAGACCAGTCGTTTTATATGGCTCTGAAACTTGGAGCACAACTAAAAGAGATGAGCCTTATTACAGGTTTTTGAAAACAGAGTCTTACGATGAATCTTTGGACCTATCGAAGATGCAAGCTGCGGGAATTGGAGAGTGAACAGCAACAACGAAATTCATAATCTGTTTAAATCACCACTGATCACTGGCATCATGAAAGCTAATAGACTGAAATGGTTGGGGCATATTGACAGAATGTCAAATGACAAAGAAGTGAAAACTGTATACACAAGGGAGATGAATGGTTGTAGACCACGAGGTAGACCAAGATGACAATGCAGAGATAATGTCCAGACAGACCTGCAAACACTTGGTGTCACCAAGTGGAAAGAGAAGGCCAAACAGAGAGATAAATAGAGGCGGGTGATATCTGCAGCAATAAACCTCAAGGGAATGCTGAAGAGGAAAGAGAAGAACAAATATGTCAGAGACATAATAAACAAATTAGAGGGAGATCAGCAGCTTCTTTTGGCAGTAGTGAAGCATCGCAAGCTAGTTTGATTCGGGCATGCGGTGAGACATGATTCGATTGCAAAGACTGTAATTCAAGGACCAACTGGGGGGTAGTCGAAGAAGAGGAACAAAGAAGTACCTGGAATTATACTATCAAGAAATGAACAGGACTAAATTATGATACACTCATTCCCAAGTGGAAGACAGAGAAAGAAGGCAGGTTTTGTGTGTTTGTGCTTCCACCCATGCACCTCCACTACTCTAACGGGTCAAAGGTTATGTTAAGTTATAGAAGCGTGCTTAAAATTCCTAGACTGAGGTCTTGACACAGACAACCTATCATAAACAATCAAAAGCAAGTTAGCTCTCCTCTACCCCCCCCCCCCCCCCCCCCTTTTCCATCCTTTCCAGAATATTTTGTGACAACTAGAAAGAGAGATAAATCAAGACAATTGATAACAGATTCTTGACAGCCTTTTCTCATGGCAAAGAAAGTGTCAGCACACACAAACACAAATACATGATGTTGGAGACCGCAAGATGTGGAGAAGCACACCGCCTACAATCATTAGCAAAGCGCTTGATGATAATTCCAGATACAAGTTTACAGAATACAGAATCTATTTCAACTTCTATCGTTAAACTAAGAATAAAGCCAAGGATTTTTTTTTCTTTAAAAACTTTTTTCTACCAAATATTAAGCGGTTAAGGAATGAATTTACTCACACCTGTAAAAGAATCCACTTGACACAAAATCAGTTTATGAGATGAACAGTGTGAAACGATAATCATGACGACGACCTTGACCCAACTATAAATTACACACTGAGATTCCCTGGAAAACGAAACACCATCTGGTTTTTATTTTTTACAAGTCAGGAATCAGATCAAAGAAACAAATGATATCCAGAGAATGAAGATAGAAGTTAAGCAGATTCAGTAGCACCTTCCGTCTCGTCTGTTCCGCTTAATCACTCAGTCTCATTTAAATCTGCTTTTGCCTTCTTCTTTGGTATCCTCGTCTTTGTCTTCTGCAGGTGGTTTTTCTGAAGCACTGTATTTGATTCGGCTGCAGCTAAACTGGCTTCATTTGAGGTTACTTCTTTTGTTTCCATTCTGACCTTTCTTCCTCTGTAGTTTTTTTTTTTTTGGGTTTCTACATCTGGAGACTCTTCAGACTTTGCCTTCACATTTTCCACTGTTTTTGCAACAATGGACTCTGAGGTGGTTTTTGGTGTCTGAACAACAACTTCCTCTTTTCTTCCAGGCATGACGAAAATGTATAAAATGTAAAAAATCACGAAGCGGCGAGAGAGAATGAAAATGCGCTGCTAGCTCCACAAAGAGGAAGATGCAAAGGATCTTCGTTGCTGGCGCTTTGAAGGCAGTCATGTGATCTAGCTCTGACTGGGCACAAACTGGTACATAAGGAAAGTAAAACTCTCCTACGATCAAGGTATACCTTCTTCTTCTTCTTCGTGTTCAACGGCTGTAAACTCTGGGGCAAGGTCTGGTTGTTTGTCTACTCAATTTACAGACCTGGGTTAGTTTGATGCAAACTGTTGGTTCCTCGCCTCTTAGGCAGATAAACTGCAACTCTAAAGGAACCCCTAATTAACTGACTTTTACGCCATGCCTGTTAGAGGAGCAGTGGGTCTATTCTTTATTTCTCTTAAAATAGGGCCCTGGAAACCACACGGAGAAATCCAGGTGTTTAAAATGTCGGTCCTGAGCACGTTTCCCGGTCATCTACACACTACCTGACCTTCCATTCATACTTTCTCAGATTCTTCTAGGTCGGAGGGATGTCAGGTTGTCTGCCCTCCAATTACATCAAAGCCAATGTCATGTGTTCTATACTACATGACAACACAGCTTTCAACGGCCTTAGAACTTTCCTACCCTCAGCCTCAACCTAGGTCACACAAGAGAGACTTTTTGAATAAAGCAGTACAACATGACACCCCTCTGACCTAGATCAGACTAAGAAAGTGTGTAGATAGGCCTGAAAACGAGAAGAGGTCCAAAATGTCAAATGCTGCAAAAAAAATTGGGGGGGTGGGGGGGGGAGAAACTTACTTTGCACTGGTCTTGGACATCCCAGAGAGTGGACACACTTGACAAAGCTCCCATCACCCAGAACCTCCCACACTTTAGGCCCGACACGGGTCATGGTACGCATGCACAGCAGCACATAGTTGGAGTCTGTGACCTGCACACCAATCTTGCTTAGAGGGGAGCCAACCGGACCCATGCTGAATGGAATGATGTACATCATACGTCCTGCAGAAGGGAAGCAAGATGGCAACTACATTCTGAACAAAAGTAAACTGACACTAGGACATAAATTAATGCTCTGTGTGTGTGTGTGTGCGTGCGCTTGAGAATGCCTGCGTGTGTATGTGTCGAGACAGAGTGAAAGGAAAAGAGAGGGGGGAAAAAAAGAAAGAAAGAGAGACATAGGAAAAAAGCAGAGAAAGAGGTGGAGGAGGAGAAGAAGAAATAATAAAAGATTGTTCCCCTTTTGCAAGGCCTGCTACTCTTGGCCATCTTTTCAACACTTTAGATTCCTATAAGATGCTATTTTCCTCCTGTTTACTTCCTCTGCCCTGAATTAATGTTTGTGATTCTATCTTTGCACCAGACAGTTTAGAATGCACACTTTTTCTTACCTGTATGAAAACAGTGACTACCAAGCTCACAGGAGGGAAAGAAAAAGATGTACATAGAAAACAACAATTAAAAGTTCTGACCAGTCATTATCATTAGGTTTAGGTTTAGATGACGGATCAACATCATGGCTTAAGGATAGTACCCATAAGTGCTACGTTCTACTTCTGACTCAAGCATGAGTCTGAAAAATCTCAGCATGACTCCGTAGCACCGGTGAGGATCCTGAAATACTTTGGGTAGATTTTAAACTCCAAATTTTGCCCGGGCATCACTGTTAGGCTACTCTTTTTCTATTTCCAACTGACAAGGGATTTTTTTACAGTGCAACAATACACACGGGTGTCCGATCTTCCTACCCATAGACCAGGTGAAATTAATAAAGTCCACGGGAAAAAATCCCAGCCTTCACCAGTGTTTGAACCTGGGAACTCCAGCACTTGAGGCAGACGCCAGGCCTCGAGACTGTGCAGCCCCCTCAGTCATTATCAAAGAATAACAGGGAAAAATATTAACAGCTAGTGTGTGTGGACGAACACACCTAGAACTTTCTCCCAGAGTCTACAGCCAGTGAATGCAAAGAAGAAGAAAACACCCTAACCTGTACAGTACACGGTGGCCTGTAAAGTTCATGGTGGCTTGTACAGTTCATGTTGGCCTGTACAGTTCAAGGTGGCCTGTATAATTCATGGTCACTGCATAAGCCATGGGGTCCTACCTAGATCCTCAGGCTTAAGACTAATTTGTCCTGTGCCGCCCTAAAATGATACAATATGCAGTAAACATTTTTTTAAAACTTAAAATAAAAAAACCAAACACACATAAAAACGAAAAAGCGTTTGGACAAACCTGCCATACATCCTGGGAAACGATGATCCAACTCCACCTTGGTGTCCTCAGGACTCATCCAGGCGCCCAGAATTCCTGTGACACCCTCGCGTACATGTGGCACAGAATCATACTTGTTCTTTGTGACGATGAACGTCTTTGATTCCACACGAGCGACATCAGCTGGGTCAGTGCGGCACAAGTAGCTGTGATAGAAAGATAAATAATGTTCAAATTGGGGCTTAATTTTACCATTTATTAAAAATGCATATCATCATCAGCATCATGTGCCATGCAAATAAGAGTAGGTTGTCATGTTTCACTAACTCACAGCATCCCCAGGATCACTGATATGGTCAGTGTTCTTGAATCCCCCGACTGATATGGCAAAGTCATCCAGGTTTTTATCTCTTTGCCTTTCTTTAGCTTTTTTCCCCACCAATCCTGCCAGCTTTCCCCAATTTTGAGTTCATTCCTTGTCATGTCTCAATCTACTGCTTTGTTTGTTTGTTTTAGTATTCAGAAGCCATGAGCTGTTAACCCTTAGGCTCAGTATTATGGATATCGCAACCTTTCGGCCTTGATTCCATTGTAAATACCGTAAATCTGGGAGAAAATGTGGTTTTCCTGCCTACCACCGGGACTGAACCCGGACCACAAGGTGTTCATCATCCGGTCTCCACGCAATCTGGTTTAGCCAACTACGTTAGAGAGCCGGGCATCTATTGCTTAAAAATATTCATCACATGTTTACAACAACAAATAGAGATAGAAAGTCAAATCAAAACAGATGGAAAGAATATAAAAGTCAACACTAGTATATAAATTTTAGTGTTGAATATCGAGAGGATCAGCTTCATTGTACCAGGCTTTATCCCATATGGCTCGGCTTCTTCTCCGCATAATGGATAGCAATCTGCCTACAGCTTCACACAAAGCATGAACACTGAAGCTCCAGTGATGATCAGCAGGGGTCCCAGTAAAAATGCACTCAAGAACTGAATGATGTAGCCGTGAAACAAACCCACAACCTTCTAAACGTGATGCAAACGGCCTGACCACTTCGCCACAACAAGCAGTAACAACTATTTATGACAATATTCACTAATCACATACGGAAATCAAAAGAGGATTATATCCAGCTGTCTGCTGTCTAAAATCCTTTTCAACAAATACACATAATTTTTAACTCTCTCAATAACAGAAAGTTTTCACAGCAGACGGCCAAAAGGGGAGATAACCACTTTGCAAAATTTGGAGCCCATAATTTTCAAAGAAGCTTCAAGATTGCAAGTAAGAAAGCCTGGATTTCAAGGAAACCAGATTTCTCAAGTATGTTCTACCCACATATGTAAATAATCTGAGACAACATTATCTAATGGCTGGGATTTATGAGAGAGCCAGTCACACATTACTAGTTTCTCAATACTGAAAGAATCTGACTACCTGCAAACTTGGCTGGATTGAATGTCAACAGAATAATAAAAGCTTGAAGTCCTTACGTCTTTTTCAGGACGTAATTTTTTGTTATTTGAAGCCCTACTCTGGCTTTTGCCAGGGGCCGCAATATAGGCAGGCCATAAAAATGGCCAAATGTCTGAACGCGGTTTCTGGGACCTCTCCACGGTGATCCTCATCCACATGGTGTCACGTTGTGTCATCGGGTGTTTATCGCTTGTGTGATGTCCTGGTGGGGTAAAACGTCACTCACTCACTCACAGAATAATAACACACAAGTCATCCCCTTGTGGGATGCCATTTTTATTTTTATTTTTAAGCCCCACCCTGGCTTTTGCCAGGGGCCCTAAATATAGCCATGCCTGAAATATGGCCTAATGGCTAAACGGGGTTTCCGGGACCTCTCCATGGGTGATCTTCATCCGCATGGTGGCACTTTGAGTCACCAGGTGTTTATCGCTTGTGTGATGTCCTGGTGGGGTGCAACTTACATACATACATATATACAACAGAATAATATTAGGAAAGCCCCAATATGCAAGCAATATTTTGTTAATATTGCGCTGTCGTTGGGGCCCTAACCTAACCCAACGGCTGAACGGGGTTTCTGGGACTTGTGCTTGGAGGATTCCCATCCGAATAATGGTACTTTGTGTCACTGGGTGTTTTCACTCATATCACGGTCCTGGAGTAGTTGAACTTCATTCATTCAAAAGAAAAATAATAAACTATCTTTAAAATGCTGATCCCTTTTTGGATACTGGAACCCCATTTTGGGTGAACAAAGGAAATAGACCCACCACCCCTTAATAGGTATGTCACAAAAGGAGACTTATTAGAGCAGCGGTTCTCTACCTATGTGTCGCAACCCTTTTGAGGGTCAAATGACCCTTTCTCAGGGGTCACCTAAGACCATCGGAAAACACATATTCACTGAAGTTATGAAGTAGCAACAGAAATAATTGTATGGTTGGGGGTTGTCACATCATGAGGAACTGTATCAAAGGGTCGCAGAACCAGGAAGGTTGAGAACCACTGAATTAGGAGTCTGCTGAAACTGGATTCACTGGGCTGAAAGGCCAAGATATTGAAGTCTAGCTGTGAATCACAATCACATGTGTCAACAGCCACTTTTAAGGACAAATGCAGAATTAGAAAAGAGAAGAAATGCTGATGGCTAGGTATAGCTTGAAGAAAAAATAGCAGGAGGTACAAGTAAGTAAGCAGTACACAGGTGTTGGATGGCACACACGCTGAGAAAACCTGGGAACAGTATAACTATAGAGGCTTTACATTGGAACCTACAGGAGCACAGAAATAAAGGCAAGCGGGAAAGCACATGGGGAAGGGAATTAGAATGCTGAATATTAAATTAAGAATCAACCTTATAGCACTGGGGACACTGCCATAAGCACTCTGTCCTTATCCTCAGCAGCAAATGAACTGTGCAGGTTAGGATTTTACTGCCCTCAAACAAACAAAATTCTTCAAGGGAACTGAACCTGGGTCTCCTGAATATAAGTCAGGCATTCTCAACCGCTCAGCCAGCCGCTTCTTAGACATAATACTGCATAACCTAACAGCAACACTTACCCCCCCCCCCCCCCCCCTTTTTTTTATTTTAAAATTATTGTAAAGGACCCCTTCTGATGCAATGACTGCCAGGTTCATTTAGGTTCCCGCCTAGCTGCCCAATGAGCGCAAGAGCGCCGATTTTAAATCTCTTTTGACAACCCCTTGGGCCACTGATGGCCCCTGGGACAAAGAGATAACAGTGAAGTTAGCACTCCAGACCAAATTAAACATGAAACAAACTGAAAGTGGGTTTTAACCTGTGTGGGTTCCTACGGCCCCACTTGGGGGGGGGGGGGGGGTGCTACAATAACTGTTGGCTGCCAATCTAACCCACTGCTCTTTAACAAGCATGTCATAAAAAGTGACCAATCAGAGGTTTGCTGAAATCAGATTTGCAGGGCCAAAAGGCACAGATATCTCAGCCTAGCAGTAAACCACAATAGCAGTGTGTGAAAAAAGAAAAAGTGTGCCAACTGCCCTTCCGAGAGCAAACTCAAAGAAGAAAAAAGTAGAAGAGGAGGAGGAGTAGGAGGACGAGGAGAAGGAGGAAGAAGAAGATAACAAAATACCGAAAAGCCAAATACTAATCGTTTACTTGTTCTTATATTTGGTCAGTCTGGTCAGAGTGCCTCTTTCCAAGAGTTTGTGGATGATCTCCTCAGCCTCCTCCTGGCTGCCATCACAAATGAAAATGCCCCGCGGCTGACACAGCTGAACCTAATACAAAGATCACGGATCATCGAAATAATATGCTCACGTTAATCAAATGCAATGTTGTTCGTTCATCATGAGTGAGGAAGACCACTTTCATCCATCAAATGCAATACTGGATAAATAACAGCTGCAGCAGCTACAGATTTCACAAATAACAAATGATGGAAACATCTTTTTTTTTTTATATGGTATCATCATCATCATCATCATCGTCTTGCCAGCTTTGGTAGGCGTTCATAAATCTCCACAAATCTCAGGCTCTGGTGTTCTGGATCAATTCCACTGATGATTTTACTCCATGCCACTGTCTTAAGACACCTACCATCATTTCTCTCGGTGTGCCTCTGACTCTTCTACCAGTGATCTTTACAGTCGTCACAACATTTTCCAGTGCTCCTTTTCTCATCACATGACCAAAGAACTTTGTCTCCTTCTCACTGTTTTATATAATGTCCTACTTTCATTAACCATTTCCAGGCAATCATTGTTAGTTATTCTGGCAGTCCAAGGTATTTGCATCATTCTTCTCAAGAACCACGTCTCTGCTGCGTCAACTTTTCTTAATTCACATGGTACAGGTAACTAAAAGTAAAGGATCTTTTTTAATGTATTTTATACATCTGGCATATGATTTTTTGTTTCATAAATCTGGCATATGATTTTATGTGTTTCATACATCTGGCATATGATTTTATGTGTTTCATACATCTGGCATATGATTTTATGTGTTTCATACATCTGGCATATGATTTTATGTGTTTCATACATCTGGCATATGATTTTATGTGTTTCATACATCTGGCATATGATTTTATGTGTTTCATACATCTGGCATATGATTTTATTGCTTATGGTTTTCATACATCTGGCATTTTATGTGTTTCATACATCTGGCATATGATTTTATGTGTTTCATACATCTGGCATATGATTTTATGTGTTTCATACATCTGGCATATGATTTTATGTGTTTCATACAACTGGCATATGATGCTAGACTCGAATTTATAGACCAGTCAGCACTGGACGGGTATTGTTGTCAGCATAACAGCTTCTGCCAGGTCATCATCACATTAGGAAGAGAATGAAGACAGTGGTGTAATGGTTAAGGCAGAGTTAGAGGTTATAACAACAAGTGAAAGAAGAATTTACTATGTGTTCTAGCCTCTAGACTGTCTGACTGTTATTTGTCAACTTGGGGTTTGCTGCCTAAAGATTTGACATGGCAGAAAGATGGAAGTAAATACAGAAATAACGAGTACAATACAAGCTGAGAGCAGAAGCTCAAGGTGAAGGAATGGAAGAAACATGTTCTGTAATTTAGCCCTGTTGAGTTTTCTAGTTATAGTCAGTGCTGTGTTTATTTAGTATTCCACTTATTAAAACTTTGGCTGATATGTTCAGCTGAATTTATGAGCTCTTCTTTCATTCCCTCCATTTAGATTTATAGCCATAGTTTGTCTTATGTTTAGTACTTTTTGACATCCACCGGATAAAAATCACTTTTTTTTATGCCATCACTGTATGTCAATCCAACAGAATAAATCCCAAGTACATTTGTAATGGTAATTTAAAGTTTTTGTACTAATTGTATGTTAATTCAAAGAATTCATAAATTCGGGAGTGGAGTGATTAATTCTTATTTTTCTTCATGTTCACTGCCTGTAAACTGGCAAAAAGTCTTGGTTGTTTGTCCACTTCTGAACTTTGGTCTCGTTCTGGGCTTAGATGCTGCATACACCTTCATTTTTTAAAATAGATTTGGCTTATTATATGTGTGCAGACTGTCAGTTCCTTGCTTCTTATGCAAATGCACTCTGATTTCAAAGAAAATGTCCTATCTAAGTAAATCTGTTTCTAGGATGACTGCAAAGAGGTGCAGTAGACAGACAGGTCTTGATGAGCGTGAGACTCCTACACATGTGGTTCAGCACCTTTTTATCATAGGTCCAATGAAAACTGTTATATTTTCCATGTGGGTTCTGGGGCCCCATTGGGGGAGGGGGGAGAGTGGAGGGAAATAAAACAGACCTACTGCCCCCCACAAGTATGTCACCAAAGAGGGGTGTTTTCCTCGTTTGAGTTCAGTGGTCAAATTAGGGGTGGGATAAAAAGTGGGGGGGGGGGGGGCGTGAACAGACCCACTGCCACCCCAAACAAGCATGTCATAAGAGTGAGCTTATGAGGGCTGTTTTTTCCCATGTGGGTCCCGCTGTTGAATGCCCTTTATTTTTGCGCTGCGCTGGGGGAGGAGGAGGGGGAGGGGATAGAATAGACCCACTGCCACCCTAAAAACATGTCATTAGAATCGACTAATGAGGAGTGTTTTTTCCCCGTGTGGGTTCCACTGTCCTATTTTTTTAAGAAAAAAGAAAACACCCACTGCTCCCCAATAACAAGTTTGTTCTAAAAGGTCGACCTTATTATTAGGGGTGTTATTTAAAAACTGGAGTGCAGAACTTTTGCGTTAACGGTCGCTGAATGTGAAGAAAGACAAGAAGAAGAAGGGTGTTTCCTGTCGGAGGGCATACGCCTGGAAGATAAGGAACCAACAGCTGGCAGCATACAAACAAGGGTGACCTGCAAAATGTATGTGCATGCCAAACTCAAGTTCTGGAACAAGTCTAGGGTCAAGAAATGGACAAACAACCAGAACTTTCCACTGGAGTTTATAGCTGGTGAATGTGAAGAAGAGCTTCAGGTATTTAAAGACACCCCATACAATCAGGAAATGGTGTGGGAGGGGGGTGTTTGGAAATAAAAGAGGGGGGGGGGTGTTTGGAAATAAAAGAGGGGGGGGGGGGGGATGATACTAAATAATCAAAGTTGGCTTACGCAGTGAGCTACAAATGTCTTCACTTTCTTTGGCAAGTGATTGAAGTCCCCCTTGGCCACAGGCACATGGCCAACTTTCTGCACTACAATCTCATGAACTTCATACACCAGGTCATCCTGCTCAAACATGATACTGTAAGAAGATACAGGTTTGAGTCAGTTTTAATATGATGATAAAACATGAACTTCAAACACCAGGTCATCTGACTTTAACATGATACTGTAAGAAGATACAGGTTTGAGTCAGTTTTAATATGATGATAAAACATGAACTTCATACACCAGGTCATCTGACTTTAACATGATACTGTAAGAAGATACAGGTTTGAGTCAGTTTTAATATGATGATAAAACATGAACTTCATACACCAGGTCATCTGACATTAACATGATACTGTAAGAAGATACAAGTTTGAGTCAGTTTTAATATGATGACTAAAACATAAACTTCATATACCACAGTTCATCTGACTTTAACATGATACTGTAAGAAGATACAGGTTTGAGTCAGTTTTCATATGATGATAAAACATGAACTTCATACACCAGGTCATCTGACTGAAACATGATACTGTAAGAAGATACAGGTTTGAGTCAGTTTTCATATGATGACTAAAACATTAACTTCATATACCAGGTCATCTGACTTTATCATGATACTGTAAAAAGATACAGGTTTATGAGTTATAGGTAATGAGATGGAATATTTCCGCAGCACTCCAGAAACATCAATATGTGCTCAGATTTCACTTTCAACATATTTATCAGCGTCCCGCAGTTAATAGTGCCAGTCCTATGCTGGTTGACAAGACTTTGTGTGCGTCCGGTGTGCTTCTCATGCTTGGTTGTGCTGATCTTTACTCCCCATTCTTGTATTCTTGACAGTGATGTGAACATGTTGTTTCCAAAATCCACGGATTGTCCTATCTCTCTAAGGGCACTGACAATGTCTGCGAGATCCATGGGCCGGGCATCTTCAATTAATGTGGCACCTGCCAGTCTTATCAGCTCTTTCATTACCAACAACACCAGCATAACCTGGAACAAATATGAAGGTAACTGCACACACAGAAAAGTTCTGCAATAACCCAATCTACTGTCTGTGTAACCAGCCTGCCTCGACCCGCTGGATCATGCTCAAAGAATCACTCAGCACACACGTGAAAAAAGTGATTCTAGTCCCATGAAAGCTTGTGTCACCCCAATCACCACCATCGTCATGCTGCTGGTAGTCATGGAGAAGGCATCGCTGGCTTCTTGAACTGTTCTGCCTGAAGAGTGAGCTGTAAATGCCCATGAACTCTTATGTCCTCTTATAACAGACCTGTCTGTGAAGATCAGCACATCTGTCTCATGGGACTTGTCACTGATAAGCACTTACACCTCGCGTTGACAGTGAGAATCTGATCCCGACAGCTTCTATCAAATGTCATGACACAGGAGAATGTGAGATTATGCGCTTTAGACGCTGGTATCCATTCCTCACCTGGATGGATATCTGTAAGGCTGTAGACTCTGCTCAGAATTAGCGGCGGCCATGACCCTCATTGCTGACAGGCCTTTGGGTGCTTTTGTTATGACATGGTCAACATGTTTTTTGAAGGACAGGCTGGGATCAAACCTCACTCCGAGGTATATCATCAGATTTGTTCTCGTCAAAATTTTCTTGCTGCTTTCCACTGCACTGAATCTTTTAACGATCTCTTCCATATTGTTATATCAAGACCTCATCAGCAAATGACAAGGTCCTGCCACGCCCGTGTAATTGCTGCTCAGAGATGAAAAAATGGGAGCTTCTGTGGAATAACACAAAGCTCCAAATCCTCTCAGAAACATAAAATCAAATGATTTAATCATCTTGTTAGGATTCAGCCAGAACAACTACCAACACAGGAACTATTCATGAAAAGATCTGATGTGAAACCTAGAGGTTGCCCTAGGAGCATATGGACTGATGACATTAAAGAGCTTCTACATCAACATAGAATGACAACAGCCACTGCTACTCATCAAGCAATGGGTTGCAAACTGTTCCTCTCCATGACACATAATGGCAGAAGTGGAAACTGATAATGATGATGAATGAAACATGAACTTCATACATCAGGATATTCTTTTTTGAACATTATTTTGCAAGAAGATGCATGAGTTTTAATGTGATCAAACATTTTTTTCCAGACATGATACAATGAGAAGATACAAATTTGTGCGACTTTAAATATGATGAATAACGCATGAACTACACACACCGCTTCATCTTTTTCAAACATTCTTGTGGCTGCAAAACCAAGCTGAGTGAAGAATTATTTTGTAAAATTTTGTTGCTGTGAAATTAACACCTGCTGATTTCTTCTTTCCAACTAACTACAACAGTATTAAACAAAAAAACATTATAATATTCAAACTGTACAATTATTTCTCTTTAAAAATTTATATATAAACTTTTGTAGTGAATAGAAGTAAATTACATTCTCTACTGCTTTTGTTTTGTACACCCGCCCCTGTGCCATTTTTGTAAAGGGAAATTAATGCGGGGCCAAGTCTGTAAAAATTATTGGGCCTGAAAGAGTTAAAGGACGCTTTTCACATTATGAGTGTGTCAGGCCTTTCTACATGTGGAGTTCTTCTGACTTATTAAAGACCAATCAGCACTTGATTGATGATGGGGTCAGGACTTTACCTGGGTCAAGGCTGGGTCGACCTGGAAGCCAAGGTCATTTTAAAAAAAAGTCTGTCACTATCCAAACCTATGACCTTTCAATCTGCAGGCAAGCTTCTAGCTGCTACATCACAGCAGCCCAGCCCCCCCCCCCCTCCCCCGGTCTCTGTTCGTTCGTTCTAGAGCCCACCACAAATGCGGGGGGAGGGGGGGGGGGTTGCTGAGCTAATAATTCTGTAAGAGGATGAAGAGGCTCCTTTTAACAATACCTAGCAATTTTTCTTTAAAAGTATTCATACTTAAATATATACTTTTAAATATATACTTTAATAAATACCTTGTATATACCTTTCTATACCTTAATTTTTTTTTTTTTTAAATTGCTATAGGGCAAATAAATGTAATAATATACTTCAAGTAATATAACTGTATAAACAAATACTTTAGAAGATAGTTTTTGTAAGGCATCTTACCTCTTCTGCAAAATTTGTGAATGGGAGTGCTCAGCCCCCCCCCCCCCCCCCTTTTTCCCCTTATTTTTCAAATCCTTTTTAACATTTCTTTTGGACCTTGAAGCTCCGCTCACCCTTTTTTTTCACTCCATGATTAATTCCAGGCGGTGGGCCTAGGTGTTTGCCTACTAAGGGTGGTCAGAGTTTACATTCAAACGGCAGCAAATGAAAAATTATTGATTCTAATTCGTATGTGTGCAGTTTTGGGGCTGACCCAGTCTTGTTAAAAGTGGGTACAGACAATTCTGAAATCTGGGATGGAAATGTAATGAGGAATGTAACTGGCTAAACGACCTCATACAAGTCATGTCCTAAAATAAAAACAGTTCCGACATCGCAAACAAAAAACACACACACACAAAAAGGCTTCTCTGTCAACAAAATGCTTTCAATGAAAGGTTCCTTGAACCTTGTACCACTTTCGGCCAGCTCTATGACCTTCACCTTCACAACCCAAACAAGCCCAGCAAGTTGTTTATTACAAATATTGTGAATGCAAAAATTCAATCACAAAAACGTACTGAGATATGTTCCCACAAACTTAAAGCACGAATATAACATTATAATTACTCACAAGCAACAAAAACAACATTAAACCACTAGATAATATTTCTTAAATTATGTTTCAATCAAATGTAATAACTGCCGTCTGCGCCGATGTCGTCTGCTTCATGTACCGGCGTCTGCTTTGCCGTTTTGCAACGTTGTCATCTTCAACATGGCCTCAAACTATCGTTGTTAAACTACAACGTTTTATATTTATATATTCATATGAAACAACATGCAAGTTTATGTATGTAAACGTTTGACAACATTTATTTACTTACAACTGTGGCGTGAAATTTGAAAAGAACTCGCATCAACAAACGATCTGTTGCTGAACTGTAGCGGGCGCTGAGCGGTTGTTATTCAAGTTATTGTACTGCATATGTGTTTGCAAAGTTAACGTCGCAGATGTTTGCTTGCGGATTCAGATCACCCCAACCTTCATGTTAATGTAGCGGGCTGTTTTAAAGCGGCGTGATGTAATTTTCCGGGAATAGAAGGTGCGGTAATGCTGTTTCTTTGCGTTGGGTTGTTGTTGTTGTTGTTCTTCTTCTTCTTTTTCTTCTTCTTCTTCTTCTTCCGTTCGTTTGAAATAGATGATCTAAATATGTAATGTTGTCTCTAGTATGTTGTGTTAAGTGATTTTGTGTATTCACGTTTTTTTGTTTGCTTTATGTATTGTTGTTATCGATCCATCGGCGCATGAGCTTTCGCCCTTTGGCCCAATGCCATGTAGTGGAATTTGCATGTTTTCACAAGCTGTTCTTTTCCTCCGTACAAGGTGTTCCACTTGTCTGGTCTCGGAGGGAGTAGCATTCTTCTTGTCTCACTGAGTTCTGGGCACTCAAAGAGATGGTGTTCAACAGTTTCGTAGGGGTAGTTACATAGCTGGCACTCTGGGGAGTGTTGTGGCTGTATTCTGTTTAGGTGTGCATTGAGTGGAGTATGTTGCGTTCTAAGTCTGAAGATGGTGGCCTGGTCCCTTCTTGTTAGATGGTTAATGCTGTCATTAGGATCAGGGCCAGACATATGTCTATAAACCTCTCTTCCAGTGTCTCCCATGGCCCATCTGTTCAACCAAGTCTCTTTGTTTATAGCTCTTATCAGTGTTTTTGCTGTCTGGAGGGTTGTCGCTGTAGGTGGTTGTTTTTGTGTTGCTCCTTTCTTTGCCAATCTGTCAGCTCTGTCATTACCTGGTGTGCCGGAGTGACCTGGAATCCACTGCATCACTATTCGGATGTTGTATGAGGTAATAAGCTGATCAGCATCCAGGATTATCTTGGCTATGTCAGTTCTGCAGCGTTCACTGCCCTCCAGAGCTTGAAGGGCAGACATTGGATCTGTGAAGATGACAATATTTTGGACCTTTGAAGGGTAAACATCCATTACAGTCTTTAGGTGGTATACTGCTG